GGTCGTAGGTTGGCGTGCGGCCGCAGCGCCCGCCGCAGGCTCGGCGGCGCGCGCACTCGAGTTGAAGGTTTGCTCGTAGAGCTGTTCCACTGTCGAGTCTTTTCGATGACGAGGCCTCTGCGACGACCGACGTACGCCAGCCCGAGCTGCGGAGCCTCGCAAGAAGAAAAGAATATTATTAAATGAACTCGGGGGCACAGGACGCGGTACAAACGGGGTACACCAAAAGGCACGGGCTGCCTGCACAGCGTTCACGGGGGGGGCTGGTTGGCTGGTCCCGCCCGCACCTCGCGCACTCGGGCCCGGAAAAAAACAGTTGGTTGGTTGGTGCGGCCTTTTGCGCAGTGTGCGTGAAGTGGGCTGGCAGCTTGGTAAAGCAGGCGCCGCTTTCCGCCTCTTTGGTGCACTTGGAGCACTTGGAGTGCAGTTGGCAGCCTCAGAAAGAAAGAAAGAAAGAACACAGACAACCCAAGGGAGGGATGGACGGCACGCCGCCACCACACAGGGATTTTAAGGAGAGGGGTGTGGTGCGCTAGCCATCGCCCACCCTTGGGCGTCCGCCTCTTCCTATCTCACTGTGGCGCGAACAGCTTCAGCTTTTCTCGCCCGCTCTGCTGAGGGCGAGGCGCCGAGCTACGGTTCCAACGCTGCAGCACTCTCCCTCTATTCACAGCAGAGATGGCGACGCGTCCTTACGCGCGTCCTCGTCCCCACCTGCTTTGCTTCAACGTGCTGCCATGGAGCCAGCGCGCCTCGCGCCATGATTCAATCGCCATGGCCGGAGCGCTGTGGATCGCAAAGGCCCATGGGCCGCTGCGCAGGGCGGCACGCGCAGGCGCTACACAGATCAGAGCATTGGCGCCGAGAGCATTCATTTCCGCATTCAGTTGTCGTTGTTCTGTCGGCTCGAACAGCCCGTACAGCCATTCAGCGGCTGGTGGACGGCGCGCAGTCTCCACGCGGATCCGCATCTCGTGCACACCGCAAGGCGCCGCCACCACATGGACCAGCCCGATGGACTGTGTTTGTGGTCGGGGTGGACAGTTTGCTGTTCAGCGTATCATTGAGCAGGATGAGATGAGCGTCTAGTGGTGACGCGGGTAACGGGCGAGGTCCTGGGTGCAGAACCCGCCCTGACTCTGCCGATCCACTGGATGCGACTCAACTGCTGATACCGAACTTGTGCTGGCGGGCAGTGATTTGTGAGCGTATCGTTCAAGATTGGGGTCAGCCCACCCAACGGATGGCCGTTCGGTCGTACGACATTCGACTCGACTGTGGACTCACTCCGTGCCAGTCGTCAGCCGCCAGTTCAACGCTCGCAATGCGGTATGAACGCGGTGTCCGCGGCGGTGAGCTGCGCAGTTGGTCATTGTTCTTCGTTGCAGAGTCTTTTCTCGCATTGCAGCCCACCAAGGCCCATCGACGGCCAGCGCCCAAGGTCTGATTGTGCCCCCGGCTGTGCGTCAGCAGCGGCTTCAGACAGGGCCTGCGCTTGAAGGGGATTTTACATTTACGGGCTCTGCCAGCAATGCGTGGAAGGCGACGCGACGGTTGAAGGGTACTGTCCAGAAGGGCACTGTCGCTCCGGGTCGGGCGACGGTGCCGCAGTGTCGCTCCGGGTCGGGCGACACTGCTCGCGGCGTCCGGGTCCTGCGCCTCCCGACGAGGTCGGACGGCGTGGTATTCCGGCCGCCGCGCCTCGGTGACTGGCTGCCGTAGAAACCAGAAGTACGAGGGCGTTGTCCACCCTAAGATGGACGGAACTCGGAGGGCGTTGTCCACCCTAAAATGGACGGAATTCGGAGGGCGTTGTCCACCCTAAGATGGACGGAATTCGGAGGGCGCTGTCAGGGTCCCCCTCGGGGAGCGACGGCGCCCGACCGTCAGGGTCCCTACGGGGAGCGACGGCTGAAGCGCAAGGGTACTGTCAGGGTCCCTTCAGGGAGCGACGGTGCCCTAATGTCAGGGTCCCCTCTGGGGAGCGACGGTTCGAAGGGCGCTGTCAGGGTCCCCCTCGGGGAGCGACGGCGCCCGACCGTCAGGGTCCCTACGGGGAGCGACGGCTGAAGCGCAAGGGTACTGTCGGGGTCCCCTCGGGGAGCGACGGTGCCCTACTGTCAGGGTCCCCCTCGGGGAGCGACGGTTCGAAGGGTACTGTCAGGGTCCCTTCAGGGAGCGGCGGTGCCGTACTGTCAGGGTCCCTCCGGGGAGCGACGGTTCGAAGGGTACTGTCAGGGTCCCCGCAGGGAGCGATCGTACCGCAGCTGCGGCTAAAGGCCTGCGCTGCCCGCGGCATTCGAATGCGGCGCCTCCCGACTGAGTCGGCTCGCGTCGTATTCCAGCCAGAAGGGCGCTGAGACGAGATCGCGATCTCGGTCATCACGCCATCTAGACTTTAGCGAGGCGTGTGGCGCGCCGGCAGCGCCGCCGCCGTCTAAGGTACTGTCAGGGTCCCTTCGGGGAGCGACGGTGCTGCTGAGCGTCTGCTTGAACTGCTGTCGTCCCGCCAGAGTATATCTCGACTAGCTCTTCATCGAGAAGAGCGTCGACTCGTGCGCCGCCTCGTCGGCGGCGTGGCGGGCGGGCAGCTGGATGTGCTGTCGCCTCGCCATAGGATACCTCGACTAGCTCTCGATCGGCTAGAGCGTCGACTCGTGCGCCGCCTCGTCGGCGGCGTGGCGGGCGGGCGGCCGGATGTGCCGTCGCCTCGCCGGAGTATATCTCGACTCGCTCTACATCGGCTAGAGCGTCGACTCGTGCGCCGCCTCGTCGGCGGCGTGGCGGGCGGGCAGCTGGATCTGCTGTCGCCTCGCCGGAGTATATCTCGACTCGCTCTACATCGGCTAGAGCGTCGACTCGTGCGCCGCCTCGTCGGCGGCGTGGCGGGCGGGCAGCTGGATCTGCTGTCGCCTCGCCGAGTATATCTCGACTCGCTCTACATGGGCTAGAGCGTCGACTTGTGCGCCGCCTCGTCGGCGGCGTGGCGGGCGGGCAGCCGGATGTGCCGTCGCCTCGCCAGAGTATATCTCGACTCACTCTACATGGGCTAGAGCGTCGACTTGTGCGCCGCCTCGTCGGCGGCGTGGCGGGCGGGCGGCTGGATGTGCTGTCGCCTCGCCAGGGTATACCTCGACTAGCTCTCCATCGAGAAGAGCGTCGACTCGAGCGCCGCCTCGTCGGCGGCGTGGCGGGCGGGCGGCTGGATGTGCTGTCGCCTCGCCAGAGTATACCTCGACTAGCTCTCCATCGAGAAGAGCGTCGACTCGAGCGCCGCCTCGTCGGCGGCGTGGCGGGCGGGCGGCTGGATCTGCTGTCGCCTCGCCAGAGTATACCTCGACTAGCTCTCCATCGAGAAGAGCGTCGACTCGAGCGCCGCCTCGTCGGCGGCGTGGCGGGCGGGCGGCTGGATGTGCCGTCGCCTCGCCAGAGTATACCTCGACTAGCTCTCCATCGAGAAGAGCGTCGACTCGTGCGCCGCCTCGTCGGCGGCGTGGCGGGCGGGCAGCTGGATCTGCTGTCGCCTCGCCGGAGTATATCTCGACTAGCTCTACATACTCAAGCCTCGCGAGAGCGGCTCACGCAGGCGCAGCGCCGGCCGGGGAGGCCTCGCAGCTGCCGACACCAGATGCACTGTCGGCGTCGTTCTACGCGGGCCGCTCGTCGACTGATTGACTACGGTTCTCGCGTGGGGGCGCTGTGCTGTGCCGTACCGGGCTCGACCACGCCGTCAAGCCGTCGAAGTCCGAGACGTGGGGAGGCACAACGCCCAACCACGCCAGGGCCCCGTCGAGATCGTCGTCGCCGCGACATCGAGACCTCCGGTGATCTCCGGTGATCTCGGGTGATCTTTGGTGATCTCCGGCGGTCGGGCGGCGTCGATCTCCGAGAGGGAGTCGAGTCTAGCGTTCCTCAAGATGACGCACTACTCAACTCAACCCCTACGCCCGCATCGACGTGGGAGACAAGGCCACCCCTCGATGCTACCTGCTACCAAGCGGTGGGGCAGGAGATTGGAGGGGCCCCTTGCAGAGGTGGCGCGAACAGCTTCAGCTTTTCTCGCCCGCTCTGCTGAGGGCGAGGCGCCGAGCTACGGTTCCAACGCTGCAGCACTCTCCCTCTATTCACAGCAGAGATGGCGACGCGTCCTTACGCGCGTCCTCGTCCCCACCTGCTTTGCTTCAACGTGCTGCCATGGAGCCAGCGCGCCTCGCGCCATGATTCAATCGCCCCCACCCGCCCTCTTCCTGGCGATGTTCATGGCTCAGAGCTGATTCCGATCAAAACACGCTACCAGTGTTCACTCTCTCTATAGCATCTCCCTCCGTGGTCGCGGGCTCGGCTCGCGCCGAGTTTCCGCTGTCGTCGTCACCGCATAGTCGGTTGGGCGGAGGCGGGCAGGAGCAGGCGGCTCCTTGGATCTCCAGCTCAGCCTGAGCTGTGAGGATCGGCCCTGTCCACGGTTGAAGCGACGCCAGCTTCACGAGATGTATCTTCAACGAGTTGGATCGGCTCTCTTTGTTCATGGGTCTCATTGGAGAGACGACTTGAGGAGACGACTAGTCTCACTCCCCCGCTTTCACGCAGCGTGTTCTGTTCATGTGTGTCGTGATGTGTCTGTCGGCCCTGGCATGTGTTGTCTGTCCCAGGGCGTGGGGAGGCACAACGCCCAACCACGCCAGGGCCCCGTCGAGATCGTCGTCGCCGCGACATCGAGACCTCCGGTGATCTCCGGTGATCTCGGGTGATCTCCGGTGATCTCCGGCGGTCGGGCGGCGTCGATCTCCGAGAGGGAGTCGAGTCTAGCGTTCCTCAAGATGACGCACTACTCAACTCAACCCCTACGCCCGCATCGACGTGGGAGACAAGGCCACCCCTCGATGCTACCTGCTACCAAGCGGTGGGGCAGGAGATTGGAGGGGCCCCTTGCAGAGTCACGTACCACTGGTCGGGACCCACAACCCCGTTCGCTTTTACCGGTCTCATCACGGCGGCCAGCCCAACCGCCCTTGCTCGACCTCGTCACCTCGTCACCTCGTCTCTGGTGGCCCCATTGCCTAGCTCAATGTTTCGTTTGCTCCTCCGGCCAGTCGCCAAAGCCCGCGCACGCTATCACAGCACCGTCGCAGGCGCTGGCGCCGCTGCTAGCGTCGCTGCGGCAGAAACGGTGGCAGTCGGCGAGGGCACGTTGACTTTCGCACGAACGCAACCATTCAAGGCGGCCACACTCCCTGCCTCCTTGCCATCGTAGAAGTTAGTGCCGCCATGACCACGTCCGTTTCCCCGTGCAGTTCAACATCATCGTCGCCACCGTGAAAACTGCGCTGTGCGACCTCCTCGTGCAGCGCTACATCGAGAAGCGCGACACGATCGACTGGAAGCGGAACGGGGTCTTCGTCATGTTTGGCGGCGCCTACCTCGGCGTCTTCCAGTACGGCCTCTATGTCGGCCTCTTCCAGCGGCTCTGGCCGGGCATGGCCACCTTTGCAGCGCAGCCGCTCTCGCAGAAGCTCCGGAACGCCGCGGGGCTGCGCGACCTCTGCAAGCAGATCGCCTTCGACAACTTTGTGCACTACCCCTTCATCTACTTCCCAACCTTCTACTGCATCAAGGAGGGCCTGCAGGGCGACAGCGGGCCGGTGGTCGCGGGCGGGCTCGCAAAGTACCGCGCAAACGGCGTCGAGGACAACCTCAAGATGTGGGCGCTCTGGATCCCGGGCGATGCGATCGTCTACGCGGTGCCTCTGTGGATGAGGCAGACTGCCGCCACCGCACGACCCGCCCACGCTCCCGCAGCCCGACTCGCCTCCACCCCCTCTGTGGCCCTCTCCCGGCAGGCTCCCGCTCAACCACGGGCTCAGCTTCGTGTGGACCTGCTACCTCAGCTTCTTGCGCGGCGGGCAAGACGAGGCCGACGAGATCGAGCCGCTCGTCCACGCACAGGAGTGTCGCGCGTGACAAGTCAGCGTCCCGCGTGATGATTGCGTGTGTCGATGTGTCCAACACTCTCTCCAGTCTACCGTCTGCTCTAGAAGACTTTCCCCCAGCCCCACCACCACCTCCACCCGCCATGTGTCCATGTTGCATGTCCACTGACATGTTAATCTCGTCTGACGTCTCGTAAACCACAAAACGAAACAGGCACACAGACGCCTCTCTCGTGTGTGGTGGACCGCGTGGCGCCGGGATCGAGAGCGGCGAGACGGGAGAGACGAGCGAGGGGCCGCGCCCGGCCTATAGGCCCTAGCCCAGCTCGAGAGAAATAACCCCGCCCCAATGGGCAATGCGCGCGTCCACCGGTCCCCGCCCGCAGCACAGGCCGCCGTCCTCTAGATCTAGCGCCCCAGCGCGAGCAACGAGCAATGCGGACTCTCGTCCATCGATCGCCCATATTCCACGCGGCTCTCATGCCTGCTTGCTGACGGTTCAGCTTGCGCCAAACGACACCGTCATCGGGGGTGCCCCGCCGCTGAGTGCAATGACCACTTGCGTGAGTCCGGTGACGCCGCCGCCTGCGATGAAGCCCGCCGCGATGAAGTTCTTCATCTTGCCCAACTCCGGGCTGAACGTCTCCCAGTAGAGCGCGAGCGTGCCGCCGATGCACATCTCCAACGAGCAGCTCGCGGGGATCAAGAAGCCAATGCCGCTCGCCATCGGCAGCGGTATGAGGGTGGTGAGGATCGGCATCGTCTCACGGCAGCCGCAGAGGTCGAGGATCTTGTGGATGGTGTTGATGACGAGCGTGATGCCTATAGCCGGAGAACGCTCTCCTCCCCTGGTTGGCCCTCAATTCTCCCCATTTCGAGCCAGGAGAGTCTGCCCGCTGCCACAAACATCCATTCAAAGATGTGGTCTGGCAAGGAGTCGCCGCCGCCCGTGGTCGTGATAATAGCTAGGACACGATAAATTGGACCGTAGATGCCCTGTAGGTGGCGGGGAGGAGCGTACGCTAATGGTGTGTTGCAGCTGCCTACTGAGAACGAGGTAGAGGCAGGAGGTGCCGGCAGCGCTCCATCCTCGGACGGGATCTCATAGGCCATGTTGACGATGGTGAAGCAGGCAGGGGTGATGAAGCAACCACAGATTGCCCCTGCCATTTGCGCGATCACCATTGTTCTGGGATGGTGTCTGCGTCTTGTTTTGTTTTGTCTGCCTCTTCCTTAAAGAAAGAAAGAAAACCCAAAAATGGGAGGACGGCACGCCGCCACCACTCCGTCGCTTGGTTGGTTCTATCTATATAAACCTTGCCACCACCGGGAGCGGCCAGGACTCATAGTACATAGACTCGGTCGAGAGACCCCAGATTGGCATCCATGCCTCTCTGGACAGGGTGGCCCGCCACAAGCGACAAGGACCCCAGGAATTGCGACTCGCCGCTTTCCTCCCGCTGTGATTCTGTGTGAGCTCTGTGTCTTGTTTTGCCAACACTACACCTACAACCACACAAGGGATTTCACTGGAAGGAAGGTGTGTTGCTAGCCGCATATTATCTCTCTTCGCAGTCCCTCGCCGATCGATTCTCGCTGCAACCTTCATGCCACCTCGCGGTCGTCCCACTCTCGTCGTTCTCCCTCCTGTCGCTTCCTCCTCTGCCACGTCGCTCTCCTCTGCCTCTTCCTATCGCCCTTTGCAGTCTCTCGCCAATTCTCGTAGCGACCTTCATGGAAGAGCTCTTCCTTCATGCCACCTCGCAGTCTTCCCACTCTCGTCGTTATCTCTCCTTTCCTTCACTAAAGACTCCCGAAAAGAAAAACGCCGACATCCAATATATAAAGGCCGCAGCGAGTTCCGGTCGAACTTCGCTTGCCCGCCGCGTGTCCGTCCGAACTTCCCTGTGAGAGCCCTCCAGGCCGAGCTGGGACATGTCACCGGACACCGTCACTGGCCGATCTGCGGCATGAGCCGCGCTGCGGCCGGGAAAGCCAACGATTCGGAGCAGAAGGCCCCAGACGATGTGCCGCCGCTCATTCCGACGCGCGAGCCACTCGAGGAGGAGTCGAAGCTCTCAGCCTCTGCTCGGGAGGGGGAGGCCGAGCTTGCTCGCTCTCCTGGCGGGTCCAACCGCCACATCATGACCACGAGATGCGAGCCAAGCCAGCCTGACCCGTTCCCCACCTGGCCGTGGCTGTCACATCCTTACCCGAAAGGAGTACCTTGCGAACTTTGAGGGCGACACAGCGGGGTGGGCGCCATACCAGGAGGACCAATACTACGCTGAGAGGGGCGTCTCCCTCACGGCGGATGCCGAGGAGAGACTCAAGACCAATACGTGGGAGACGCTCGGCCAAGCGAAGGCCCGGCTCTTTGATACGCGAGTCCGCTCGCCGAACAATCGTCCGACCAAGCTGAGCAAGGAGGCCAACGATGCTCGAGCTCGCAGGCGACGGGAGAGTAGGCTGCTGAGCCAATGATGCCAATCATGTCGCGCATTTGGGGACAGGGTTGCGCTCCGAGAGGTAGATAGTGCGCCCCCACATTGTCGAGATATGAGCAATGGGGAGATGTGGGTAGATGATGGGGGGAGATAGGCAGGACAAGTGTCGCGCAACACCATCTCGACCAATGGGAAAAGTGTGGCGATTCGATATCCTTTGTGCTCTCGACGTGGTCTCGAGTTACGAGTGTCATCTGTGTGTGACCTTTCCTATCAAGCCTCTCATGCTTCGTTGTCCATCGTCCGCTGCTGTACAACTCTGGCCTCTTCTCCTTCGCAAGGGCCCCGCCCCCCCCCCGAGCTATACAGTCCAATGGTGGACTCCCCAGACAATCCACCACTCAATTTCCACAGCCGCCGCTCGCCCACCATCTGCACGCACGGCGTCGCCGCCGCCTCGCAGCCACTGGCGGCCGAGATTGGGCTTCGCGTGCTCCGTTCGGGCGGCAACGCTGCGGACGCGTGCGTGGCAATGGCTGCGGCGCTCAACTGTGTCGAGCCCTGCATGACCGGGATTGGCGGCGACGCGTTCTGCCTCTACTTTGACGCGGCGAGCGGAGAGGTGCACGGGCTCAACGGCAGCGGCCGAAGCCCGGCGGCGCTGGACCTGGCGACTGCACAGGCGTCCCTCGACGCGCCTGGCCGCATCGCCCTCGACCCCTCCTCGCCGCACTGCGTCACTGTCCCGGGCGCCGCGGCCGCGTGGTGCGACGCCATCGAGCGCTTTGGATCGATGCCTCTGGCCACTGTCCTGCAGCCCGCCATCGACCTTGCCGAGGAGGGCTTCCCGGTGAATGTCGTCGCGGCGACTCAGTGGGCGGCACAAGAGGCGCAGCTCACGCGGTGGGGAGCGTCGAACCCCGGGGCGAGTGCGCTCCTGCGGGACGGCAAGGCGCCAAAGGCCGGCGAGCTGATGCGCATGCCCGAGCTCGCCAGTACCTTTCGCGCCCTCGCCGAGCGTGGGAAGGCTGGCTTCTACTCGGGCCGCGTCGCCTCGGCCGTGTGCGAGGTGCTGCAGGCGCACGGCGGGCTGATGACCGAGGCCGACCTCGCCGCCCACCGCAGCACCTTCGACTCGCCCGTCTGCGTCGACTTCCGTGGCGTCAAGGTGTGGGAGATGCCGCCGAGCGGCCAGGGCCTCGTCGCGCTCCTCGCTCTGCGCACGCTCTCGCGGCTGCCTCAGCTCGACTCGCTGCCGCACAACTCGGCAGAGTACCTGCACCTCGTCGCCGAGGCCCTCCGCCTCGCCTTCGCCGACGGAGCCGCCTGCATCGGAGACGGCGGAGGCGAGGCCGGTGCGGCGGAGGAGATCGCCCGCTTGCTGAGCGACGACTACTCGGCGGCCCGCGCCTCGCTAGTCGACAGCGAGCGGGCGGCGGAGCACTTGCCGGCGGCGGCGGCGGCGCTGGCCAGCACGGGCACCGACACGGTCTACATGACCGCGGTGGACGGGCAGGGCAACGCCTGCTCCTTCATCAACTCCAACTTCATGGGGTTTGGCTCCGGGCTCGTGCCGCGCGGGTGCTGCTTCTCGCTGCAGAACCGGGTACGACATGTCCAGGACACGTGCACGACATGTCCGAGACATGTCCCATAGGTGCGGCTTCTCGCTGCAGAACCGGGGCGCAAACTTCCTCCTCACCGAGGGCCACCCGAACAGCGTCGAGCCGGGCAAGCGGCCGTACCACACCATCATCCCTGGCATGGCGACCGTTGGCCGCGAGCTCTTCGCCTCGTTCGGAGTGATGGGCGGCTTCATGCAGCCGCAGGGGCACGTGCAGGCGCGGCGCGTGCGGTGAGGCCGCGGCGGCTCAAGTCCCTGACTCCGCCCCCCTCCCCCCCCTCCCCCTCCCCCCCCCAACCCCTCGCAGGTGCTGCTCAACATGCTCCAGCACGGGATGGACCCTCAGGCCGCGTCATCTCTTTACTTGAGAGGGACTCAAGGAAGAACTAGTAATATAATATTGGATGGACCCTCAGGCCGCGCTCGACGCGCCGCGCTTGTGCGTGGAGGCCACGGGCGGGGCGGTCGGCCTGCAGGAGCCCGCCTCCCGCCACAGCTCGGGCGTCGTCCTTCTGCTCGAGGACGGCATCCCGGACGAGGTGGCCGAGGAGCTGCGCCGCAAGGGGCACGCCGTGCGCGGGCCGGTGTGCGGCGAGGGGCGGCTTGTCTTTGGCAAGGGGCAGGTCATCCAGCGGCGAGCCGTGCCCTCCCCGCCCGGCGCTGAGGGACCGCGCGCTGTCCTCTGGGCCGGATCGGACGGACGAGCGGACGGAGCGGCCTTGGGATGGTAATACGTCAGCCCACGCGCTCTCGCCCACACTCGCACTAGCCACTAGAGTGTCGAGATACAGATATTAGATTGAGAGCGAGAGTGGCGGGTCTGGCGTCTGTGACCCTCTCTCTCTCTCTCTCTCTCTCTCTCTCTCTCTCTCTCTCTCTCTCTCTCTCTCTCTCTCTCTCTCTCTCTCTCTGCCTCTTGCGCGCGGGGTTTTACGGTTCATGTAGTCTAGGTGGAGCTGTGGAAAATGTGTCCGACGCGAATCGCGCGCGAAAAACCATGACAGAGGAAACAAGGAATGTGCGCGCCGCGTGCGCGTCGGCACACCTTCTCGTTGTGACTCTCGCTGACGCTGTACATGCTTTCTCTCTCTAAACGCACCATAAATGAAACTTCGAAAACACACCGACGGCGGTTCGTAAACCGAGATCCCACAACATACGGCGAGAGGACAAAACACTCTCTCTCACCGAACCGAAATCACAGAAGTGAACCGCCTTCAACCACATTGCTGGCACATGCTGCAGGGGAGGAAGGGCGGTCACGGACAGACGAAAAGCGGCCATCCAGGGGCCTCTACTCTAACGAGAGCTCTTGTGGCGTTCTGCTTCCCAGTCTTGCAGAAGGCGCAAGAGTTCCAAGATCCACAGGAGCCAAAAGCCAACCATCGTTGCTAGACCAGCCGGTCGGAGAGCACTTGCAGCAGCCGGTCAGCTTGGGCGACTAGCCCTCCCTCTTGCGACAAGCCGAGCTGCGCGTTGGCGTCTTGAATCGTGGCGAGGAGCGCGACGCCTGCGCACGGGCGGGCAGACCACTCAGCAAGGAGGGAGTCGTGGCGGTGACACGGCTTCTGGTCCGGCGAGGCGAGACGCGCGCCTGCCGGGAGCGAAAGCGCGGAGCGGATCGCCTCGACCTTGGTCGGCAGAGGCATCGCTGCGGCGCCGCCGGGCGCGGGGCTAGCGGGCGGCACAGCGGCGGGCGGCGATGTAGCAGGCGGAGACGAGGCGGGAGCCTGAGCCAGCGGCGGCGGCGCAACCGTGCCGCTCGACTCCATCCAAGCGGATCGGATCGACGCTGGAGGAGAGGCGGGCGTGACGCCGCCGAAGAAGGCGGAGCTGCCGAACGCGCTGGGCGGCAGAAGGACGGGCTCCGCTGGCTGGCTGCGAGGCGCTTCGGTTGCACACCCGTGGGGAGGAGGCTGCGGCTGTGCGGCCGCCTGCCGCGACGCTGCACGCTGCGCCGCGAGCCTCTCGAGCCGCTCCACGCGCTCGCCTGGCGCGCGGGCCGGGCGAGATGAGGCGTCGTCTCTCGACCGGCCCTAGGCCGACTCTGGGCCCTCTCTCGGTCCTCTCTCGGCCATACACCGGCTGCATCTCGGCTGCATCTCGGCTGCATCTCGGCGGTCTCTCGGCTGCATCTCGGCTGCATCTCGGCTGCATCTCGGCTATATCTCGGCTATATCTCGGCTAATCTCGCCGGGGACCCTCAGAGCGACCGCAGCAG